ATATATATATATATATATATATATATATATATATATATATATACACTCAATATATATTATAATATATACTTATATATATATACATATATGTATATACACACCATATATTATATATATTCTATAATATACGCTATACACGCTATAGTTCGTATATATCTTTGTGAACGCGTATATAAGTTACTTCTTTTTTAATTAAACATATACATATTTATCTCTGTAAGATAAATGTGACAAAAATGAATGTAACGAAGATAAATGTAACAATATGATACAATTGTGCTCTGTTTAAATAAACGGAATTACAGAGCTATATACACAAAAATAGTATTGACAAATTGATAAATTTTTATCCCTGAAAATATAAAAGTAAAAAGGAGCTTTGAGGGTATTTGACAGACAGAGACGAAAAAATAAGGAAACTTATTTATTTAAATTTTTTGCTTGAATTTTTCCGCTTTTACAATATATTAATGTACAATTATATGCCTGAGTTTATGGCACAAAAGGAAAACAATAGTATTGCGATCGCTGTTGCACCGAACGAACAGGCACGAGAAAACATTGTAATATCGTCCGTGATCAAGCGAGTAAAAAGAAACAAAAAACAAAACGAGACCAGGAATAGTAAAATCCGTGAAGACGTACATACGCAACGCGAGCCAATCGGTCTCGCGAGCATTAGTATATTCGCTTTGGTATCGTGACAGAAAATCGCTGTAATATGCTAAATCGACTTGGTCGAGGTAATGTAGGAAGCCGCGCATTTCTCAACGGCGGTGCGAGACGGTTCACCTCTTCGACCTCGATCTATATTCAAAATGCACTCCGACCCTCATTTGCAAACGCCGGTCGAAGCGTAGATTTCGATCTTCGGAATAAATTTGAAAACGATAAGTCACCGCGTGCGTCATACGCGCTCGTTCATGTTAACACATAAGATACGCTACGCACATGAAAAATGCGCTCGCACAACACCTCTTTTTCCCTTTATTCTTCCTCCGGCTCATATATAAAATAAACGATGCACGCGAAATGCACATATCTCGATATCTGCTAATAATAGTAACATTGAAATTATACATCAAAAGCGTATAAACATATTTGGCAACAAAAGTAACAAAGTCTTTGGATCCTATAGTACAACACATCTCGATCGTACTTTGCGTATTATTGCAAAAAAAAAAAAGAAGAAAGAACTGAAAACTAATCGTTCTTCTCTCCATAGTTTTGCATAGCGGAAAAAGATAAATAGGCATCTCTGACCGCGGCAGTTTTGATATTTTCTGCACGATCGAGAAATCGATCCTAATGGTAAGTCGAGGAAATAAGTTCGTATTAAGAGTAAACTACCGTTTTGATATATTATCATTTTTGTGTTATCGCGTTGGTCATTTTTACGATCATTCTCTCAAGATTTGTTTTTCCGTTTAATCAAGATGAATAAACGTGCTGCTTTCCTTTTTCCTCGCGTTACCATTAGTAACGTTGTCGCGTAATATCAATACATATATATATATATATATATATATATATATATATATATATATATATATATATATATATATATATATGTATATATATATATGTGTGTATATACGTGTTGTGTATATGGATATAATATAGATATATATATCTTCTCTCTTAATGATTATATACTAATCTTGTAACTTTCGCGTTATTATTGTCTGCTCACATTTACTTACGATTACTTAAAAATGGTGCAATCACTTGCCTGACAATTTATCCGTACCATTAATTACATCACTTTCGCACGTAAAGTCAGATAAATAACGAATAATAACTCTAACTACAAACGGGGACGCGTGCTTTGCTGGTGACGCAGTGTCCAAGTGTCCATTACAGGCGCGCCCGTGTGTGTGAACACATAACAGAATCTCATAATATAATATTCAATTTAGTAAATGTGTATACATATATAATAGGTATAATTGTAAATTCTTATAAATATAGGATAATAACGATTGCGCGAGTAAAAGAACATAATAACGAATGACTTCGCGATATGGCCTCGTCTCCGTTTTTTTCTTTTTGGTATATGCTTGATGAGCAGCAGTGTTTACGATTAAGTATAAGATGTAGTGCAAAACGATTTCCGTTGTCGTATTCTCTACTAGTCTGTGCAATTTGTATATGCGCGAATACGCGTGTATATGTGCATTAACACGAATATACGGCAAGAGAACGTCTAACTCTACCTCAGTCGCTATATCAAAGTCGCAAAGAAGTGGCAACACTTCGTTTCTACTGTCGCAGAGACGACGCATCTCATTTCGGCCGACAATCTGACGATGCGTTACTTCGTTAAATTCGCTCCTTATATTCTATAAATAAAACTAGGACTCGCCTTTAGCCTCTAAACGATACGGTATACTCACTGGTTTAGTATGGCAAGTATTATGACACATGGCACCTCGAGACATTTAACATTCGTCAATTAACATAGATTAGATATCACACAGAAAATGGTGTTCTCCAGATTAGAACAGTAAAAAAAGAAAGAACGAAAACTCTACAAGAAACGCGCTAGCAGTGACAATTTATCATCTATTACTCGACTGTTCCTGATCAGGGAATGATTTGACGCTCACTTGGCAGAACATCCTCCTCATACGTGACAATCGGTTGATAGTTTTTACAATTATCATTATAATTAAATGACTGTATAAAGATCGTATTAATTCGCTGTCTCCTCACAAAGTTCCATTTTTTAGGATTATTCCTTCCAGCGAAGCATATGAATTGGAAGTATTTTTGGTCAAAGTAGGAAGCGACATCATAACATTTCATAAATCTTTGAGCCACTCTGAAAAAGAGAATAAATAGAATTGTAAACGATCAGTTATGATTAGTGTCGAGTATAAACTTGCAGAAACATTCTGTTTACCTCGACGGTTTTACCGCCAAATTAATCTTGTTCCCTTTATGAATCAAAGTAAAAATATCAATATTTGAGGATACGTATCCAATATATGCATTAAATATTTGTATTTAAAGATCAAGACAACAAGAATGTGTCCAGGATTAGATGCGTATCTCTGAGCATTGGTTTTTACTTTGGTTCACGAGGGACTAACATCGATATATATATA